TTAAACGAGAAAATCACTTGATATATTCTAAAATAACTGGTATTCAGAAAAAATGTAAGTTTAGCGACTTTGAAATACTTTTAAAAAGTAACTTAACATGTGAATTAGTTCATTACATCAATAATGATACTATGGTTGTATTCAACTTCATCGTCATAGATGGTATTTTAGCTTTCCATTGAATTATTCTCCGTGGCAACAATCTTTTCACTCTATATTGGAAATTAGTGTCGAGAGTTTTTATTCTATAACATTACAGTTATCCTTCATGACTAGTCGCTTCAAGCTACCATTACTAAACTCATCACCATCAAGGTTCTGGTCAGCGTTTCCACATTATTTGTTTATTCGTTTCCACCCGATGGTTGGTGATGAAAGAGAAGTCAGTTTTAAGAAGAGCTATCACTTGACATTTCCATACTTTGTAAAATAGCCAGTGCCGATGAAGCCAGTAAACCCAGTGTGAAGAAATCTGCAATCAAATATTGAAGCTAAAAAGAAACCATGCAAACTTTGTCTGAATTTCAGGCTGCTAGTAGCCTCTACCGTTTCAAAATCAGGTAATTTGTGTTGCAGTCAGTTTATATTCTTCGAAAAGAATGCAATCAGCAAATACTTACTTAGGCTCAGCCCTTTTACAGGTAAACTTGAAAAAGTCATCCTAAGAGACACTAAATTCACTTTTTTATTTCGACTGTTCGATCACTTTTTGTGTAGAGTCCTCCGAAGAAACATAGGTGCATTCACAAAAATTGTCAAAATCCAAAGGTTCAAAGTTCTTATAAATCTATAAAGGCATCTCATTTTTTGTTAAAAGCTTGTTTATCGCAACCGGAAAGATAGTTTTGATCCTTGGCCGTCTTGAACAATTTATTGTTACCTACAACAAAGTGTCAATATCACTGACTAAATTTTAACCAGAAACCACGGTACTATTAAATTGGAATGATGCTAACATAGGAAATCGTAAATCTACAGAAGTTTGATTAACTAAGTATCCATCGACAATTTTGACAAACTTTTGCTACATTCAAATATCTTCTATTTTTTTGACAAGTACTGTAACAATAACAAGACGATTGTACCAGTCATTTAGTTGGAACGACGTCTAGATATGGTAAAATATACATAGAATATAATAGTAGTATTAAAACTCAATTTACAATGAGATTGTCAGCTATAATATAAGCAGTTAGTCATATACAGTGGAGAAACGTAGCCACAAATAAAGCAAGGAGTAGTGATGCGTAACATTTCTACTTTTTCGCTGATCCAATCGAATCAGTTATATAGCTATATATTCTGCCAAGTTAACCATAAACTCGAAGCACAATTTAATTAAAAACACAAGTCGATAGAATTAGGGAAGCTAAATATCATCATCTTCACCCAGTATATCTTTACTGATTCACTTGACAGATTTAAGACTAGTTATCACCTAAGATGATGACTGTGAGTCACTCAGTGAAATATTTTTCTTTTAAAAATCAAACCTGTAAAGTCCTTAAAACACATAATTGCGGTTGTCTACCACAGAAATGGACACATTATTGTTCTTTTGAAGCATTTTTTCAGATAATGCAAACCTGAGAATAATCTATGGAACCACACTGCAGTTTGTTGTCTAAAATTGTTATCATTACGCATTACTTTGTAAATTCTCCAAACAGCAGATAAGTAAAAATTATGTTTGAAAATGGCCCGAAACCACTTTGGAATGATGCTAAAATACATGGTACGACTCAAAGTGATAACAGTAGTGGTGTTTCTTTCATTATCAATAAGCGATTGGAGAAAAATACAAGCACACTTGAGTTTGCTTTCGTTTTCAAGCGACCTGATTGAAGAAACCTACGGAATCATGACTCTCTATTTAGAACTGGATTGAAACCATTGGCGGAGTGACGTGGATGAACGTCATGCACCTGTTCTTGTTACAGAATAAGTTGTTGTCTACTACTTTTGAAAAACTATCCCTGGGTATAACTTTAACCCACAGCACTAAATGAATTCAAAAGTTACTTTCTAAAGAGTTGCTGATACTGATTTTAACCTTCCTTAAATTTGTAAATTGAGTCGCTATGTGATTATAAAGATCGAAGGTATCCAATACAATCCGACTAATTTTCAGACATGTACTGATAGCTGATACATGAAATTAAGATGATTGCATTAACCATATATATATACTGGTTAATTTAAGCTAGGGTGATATATAATTTCAATATAATCTTCCGACAGTTTGAGTCATTCAGCACTCTATTAGGCCTCTTCTCAACAGCCGCGTTTTATTGCCGTTCACAAAATTTACTGGCTATAGAAAATGCTTTCGGCTACCTTTATGCAACAGAGGCTTAAAAGTCTTTTTACATAGGTTATTTTGTAAAATTTTGAGAACTCAGTGTCATCTGAAGAAAAGGTCAGGTTGTAGACAACAGGTTTTCACAAATACAACTTGAAATCTGATTAAACTGGCTAAATAGAATAGCCTGAAAAAGTAGTCTGCATCTGCTTGAAAATCTGACAATGATAACCAATTGACATGTGTCTGCCCGGTGAATTCAACTCGGCGAGTGAAGATGATACTACATTGTGCCATAATTGGTGGCTGAAGTTAATGTTGTATAGTTAATCTTCACAACTGTAGACAGAATTTCAGAAACCAGCAGCTAAAATATACATTGACAATGATTGGATGTAAATTCTTCTTAATAAATAAAAATCAGTGATCAAAGAAAACAACGTGGAAACACGATAATTACTTGTCGAAAATGTTAACCCTGGATTTTCAAGTGCCATTCAAAGCTGCTGAAGTAAACAGTACGCAACTCAGTTTAGCTAATATAGAAACCACTAAAGACCCAAACGTGCTTTTCGTCGTTAATGTCTACAATTTAGGCGAGGTAGAAATAACCACCATACAATTCCAAAAACTTTTTTTTAGCCTTATAGTCAGGCCCTAGGGCAAAGTGTTTTCAGGATTAATCTGTTACTTAAATGATTTGGGTAGTTACTGCTACTTGTTGAAAAGAATAACTTAGATCACAAAAGGATATGGTATTCACTTGAACTGACACAGTTAAATTCTTATGTTTATCGCCGAAATACGCAGTGCAACGGTGTTGAAAAGTTAATTCTAAACAAAATTTAACTCGAGAAATTCATTTCACTGTCAGTTTCATTAAAAATGGCAAGCCACCACAAAAAAAATAAATCCATTCGATGAAATGTAAAAACGCTACTTAGACCTACTCTCATGCAAATAAAACAGCAAACTTCTTAACCTATAGACTAAACGAAGACAAAACTAACGCATGAAAAGGCATAATTCTAAGTTGCATTTTACACATTTTCGTCGGGAACTATTTTTATTTGAGAGAAAGTCTTCTTTGATGAAATATAAAAGTTTCATGACCGTTCAATCCATCTCAATGACCGAATATCCTCTGTCAACGTACAATCACGTAAACATCAAAACGCAGAGTACAACGAACTCATAGAACGTCATAGACGACGAATAGCTTTCTTTTCGAAAGTTGTATATGACTTGGTAATCGACCAGATTACTCTAACTGAATACAATTTTCAGTTTAATCACAGTACTATGGTGCAAAAAATCATTACTTATCAATTAGTTCTTAGTGTATGCACAAATCTTTGGGGTACAGTCATTGTCTTACATGTGTGAATTTTGGTTTACTTTCCTAACATATATTCCTAGTGTTATTGGTGTGAAATGGACTTTGTCTCAAAGAACGATACTTTTTGTCCTGCAGACAGTTACTTCGCAATTTCGTATCCTTTCGATTTTACTTCATTTCAAAGATTGATGTTTAACAAGCTTTGCTCATAAAACAAAACTTAAATTTACATGTGATTTTTGTCACTACAAAAAAGTTCGAGGTTTTTAAAAGTATTGGAAGGTACTTAATAAAAATAACTAATTGAAATATGAAGGGTTGATAGTGTCATGTATTTTAACTGTTACTTTGTCCATTTACCCTCCTTACTCCAGTGTGCGTTGAAAAATGTGACCCTCTTGAGACCGGTCATCTTGATAGGAATTTAATTCAAAGCAAGACAACCTGAAATCAATCAAATGTTCCGTTCTTTTGGGAAAGAAGACTTGACACCATCGTTTGAAGTCAGACCAAGATGAAAAGCTTCACGTGTATCTTACTGAATGACCTGATAATAGATTAGGATTTCTTTTCTTTACCTGTAGCTATTATCAAAACAAATTTAATACGTCTACGATTTTTTGTAACCATCCAGAAGAGGAAAATAAGCTACTGACAAAGATTTTATATAATATGAAAGATACATAAATTGGAACGACCACTAATTAACTCAACCATTCATGTAACTTTTATCCTCCTGAGTCCAACAGACCTTGTATTAAAAGTTAACTACTTTTCAAACTATGAAGTCATAACTTACATATTTTTCACACCATATAACCTTTTGTACTAAATTAGACAAATCACTCACTTATCAATCTATAAAATGATTCCAACTTCACATAGATCTCTACTTTACATATCTCTTGAGTCGTCTCTTGCCGAAAAGTTTCGGATATCGTACCTGTTCGTTTTTATAAGATCTGGTGGTTACTTTACATCATATACCTTAACCGTAAAAATATTGAAAAAAAACCCATTAACGCCCTTATTAGACATCCATATATGCAGACAAATAACGTACTTTATAAAACCTAGAACGTATCACTCCATTCCACTCATACGCCTATGTACGTCTCATCTTTTGTTCTCAACTTTTTTATCTTGACTCATAATCAATACAAAGATATTCACACGGTATAAAGGTACACTTTTAAAATACAATCGGTTATTATATTTAAACATTCTGGTAGAAAAAATATCAAACGAGTATCGAAAAGTAAACAAACGGAAACATGTACAAACAAGAAAAGTATTGGAGAGAAATCAATTCTGTTTTACAACAATACTGACACAAAGTTTCTAATAAAATCAACCTACCTCAGGATCAGGATCCCCTTTGGGTGGCATGCATGTGAGAACGAGACGTTTACTGACAGCCAAGTCTGTAGAAACTGGTTCCAGTTGAAACTTTTTATCCAAGTCTAAATAGTAAGGGAAACGGTAATGGCAATTTTCTTAAGATGAAATTGTCAGTAGATAGTTTGTATTACATTTCACAATATGCATACAGTAGGAAAGTAAATAAAAGCGCTTTCATCTATTAACTTCATTTAACAAATGGGTTTTATGCTTTTTGTTAAGCTTCTGATTTCTACAGCTTGAATTTGGTCTCAAAGTTATAGAAATGATTAGTATAACATTGGTGACGGCTTGATTTTATGCTTGCTAGATGATGAACATTTTGTTGAGGGCAGCTCATCTAAACTTATTCATCCTTCAGTACTCTAAACCGAAATATTATGAAGTAATATCACATATGACTAATGACCCTAAAAGAAACAAAAATAATAAAGGACACACTTTGAAGCAAGCATCTTATGCTTAGCATCTGAGTCTCGCATACTTCAATGGGTTAAAAGTGATGGTTCACAGAATGGTTTATTTGTTATTTCTACAAATAAGTAACCATTTTGGTTCCCTCAAAATGAATAGCAACACTTAGAAAGCTGTTCGCTTTCATTTCAGGTATTAATCCATGTGATCTAAGGTCTTCATCACTGAGGAGGTTATGTTAATAGACAAGTTACACTGAATAATTAAAACATTCACTTGCAGCACAACCTTATATTTTCACCAGAATAGTTATTTCTCACATAGTGACTTTCTCTATAGAACTTTTCATCCAGTTTCTGCAGCAGCTAAGATGGTAGTTCCGGAAACGAAAAATGAATAAAATATGCTTCTTTTGCTTTTATCTCCATAGGTGTTGCATAAGTAAAACGTAAAGCTTTTAAAACTGCAAAGTCTGTTTATTTTTGTGTGCATGACATTTTAACCCTGAATAGACTAAATGCAAATCCGTTTCTTCTATTAAAACTAAACTAGAAATGAAAATGATGCTTCGACACTGTCAAAACAGCATTTTATTCATAATGTTATCAAGTCAAAACCATCATGGAACTAACAGGTTGATGGATATTAGGCGACAACGAGTGGCAGTTTAAAAAGGCATATGAATGATCGAATATAAAGCCTCAATTAGCACCATCCAGTTATATGCAACTAATACTTTTTTATCCCAGTTTCTTTTCCTCAGGTAGATAAGTATCTTCACCAATCCAAATACAAAGAAAAACAAACGTTTTTTCAGTCAGTTCTACACACTGACCCAGTGAATTGTATATCTACTTTAATTGCCTGAGTGAACTTCAGTCCTACCGAAAATAACCAGAAAGCACTTATATAGAGAATCTTTATAAAGAACATCTGAACCACATCCAAAACTTTTAAGCGCTACTGAAGTCAACGGACTGTTTCAGTTATGCATGAGTAACAAATTATCGGGTAAGTCCATCATTTAATTTTCCGTAATTATATCTGGCCGAAAGTAAGCTTCTTCGTAGATTATTTCCAAGAACTATGAGCCTGATTTCCGAACGAGTGAAGTTTTTCTTGGGGTTATAATTACATCTCATCTTTCAGATTCAATAGTCATATATACGAAGAAAAACAGAAGTGAGAATTCATTGTTACAGCATATCCAAAAAGTTATTTTCAACTCAAACCGAGAGAGAATAGTACATTTGTCTTCACTAATTTTATCGATGTTAAATAATTCTTAACTGGTAAGGAGTGAAAACAACTACTAGCTACTTACTTCGAGAACAGTTCAAATTTTATAACGGAATAAAATGAGCTGCGGAGTGTATATTCTTCATTACGAAATAATGAACCTATTAGATGAGGTCATTTTTAGTTTCATCCTCTAGTGAGAATTAGTAGCTTACACTTGTCTTGTAAATCTTTTTTACCACAGATTATTTGAATCTTTTAGACAACTCTGATTAAGAGAGACTAAATTGACAATCAATATCAAAAGTGCACTGTTAACCTTATATATCGGTTGAATTTTACATTTATTAGTCAACATTTATGCCTGGTACTGCAGTATTCATCAAAAATTAGATTCATCAATACCACTGTAACTACCTAAAGTATTTGTGTTAGGTATACAGATTGAAAATAACGATCCATATTATGACTACTTCCGTTCTGTTCATTTATTGTACTTTGACAATACTAGCCAAAAATAATTTATCATTAGCTAGGTTGAACTTTATCTAAAACCGTCTAAGCATAAAGGGCAAAAGTGAGCTAGTAAAAACATAATTAATGGCACCGAAATCTCTTGTTGCGTAAAGAAGCATTTTGCTCCTAAAACTCATGTATGTATCTATTATTGCTAGTAGTTCATATTAAATTAAACTAATTTCTGTAGACCCATAAAACTGGATTTTAGGTTACTGGTAATTTATTGACTAGAAGTGTAACGAAGTTAATGTGACAAAAACTGTTTTATACATATTCAATGAACATATCATGAGAACTTTTGATAAGCATGATTTGTCTTAAAAACGCATCCATTTATTCCTGCTACGTAATTACCTCTACCACTTACAAAAACTTGAAGCTCGATTAAAAGGAGATTCACTGTAACCGGTCAAAGTGAGTGATCCCTGAAGACTATACATAATTCTGAAATTACACAGATTAGTTGACAGTGTTAAAAGCTGAAATCGCTTAGCTTGTATTGAGAGTCCCGCCCTTACAAACTGACTTATAATAGTATTCAACACCAAAATTCGCTTTGATTAAATTCCGTTTGTAAGATTACCTCATAAATTCTCTTATGCTATAAGAATAGATGCGTCTTAAATACACCGGAGGTTATATTTCTAAATGATGGAGGTGAAAGCATAGTGTCCAAAAATTGCATGTTGCATCACTGGCAACTGCAAGAAAAGGTTTAGACAAGATTCAGATGTTTCACTCACTTTTCACATACCTGAGAACAAAACTGTCAAAATGAAGAGGACAAAAGTTTCCACCTGGATATTATTTAGATGGTATGTCTTTAAAAAAATCTTTATTCGACTTATTTATTTCCTACTTTGTAACCTGTAAATATTTTGCTTTTGATAAATAATATTGCGCCCAAAATATATGCAGTAAAATGGATTCAGTGTATCCTTATTTCAAGACACTTCATATTTTGTTACTACTCTCCTCCATTTAAACTCATATAAGGACCGACATAACAAAATCTCAACTTCTTCCAGTACTTAAAAATAATTACCGTAGTAATACAAGTGCATTAATCAGGAAAACAGTGTGTCAGTCCAACAGATCTGTGAAATTTTAAGTTGACAGAATAGCCTACTATTACTGTCACAGCTACCCCTTCCCATTGCATTATGTTTCCATGCATGCGGCTGCTTAGTTAACTGACAGAATTTTTCCAAAACTATGTGTTTAACACTTCAGTTTGTTTGTCAAGTTAGTCAATGGAAAAATGTGTTTGAAATATATTGAACTGTAAAAAGAAATTAACGGAAATTCAAAAATATTAGTAGAAATAAAAATTATTTTCCAGCTCGAAACTTTTCAGATGGTTCACACTAAGTGAGAAAAAAGTCAATCTAGTTATTAAGCGAAACGTCTGCGGTAATTAAGAACAGTTTTGTTTAGATCCAAGATTTTATGACTGCTGAACACCAGTTGGACATGGAATTGAAATCAGAAAGAATGTTGATTAACAGCATATCAATCATTGAAGCTTTATAGATAGTTCTATCCTTCTGATATCTCAGTCAGACAAAAATATTGTACGTATTATTGCCGACATTAAAAATCAATGAAAGGAATCCTGCAATTGAACAAGATGAGTTAAATAACAGAAATCTAGTCGGTACACCAAATTTATGAAAAGTGGAATGCAATTTGATAAAGAGAAATATCACACACGTGCACTCATGCAAGGGAAAATGAAATCGAAAATAAATTATGTCGTCATCCAGGTGCAGGGGATGTACGCAAAGTGTAACCTTTAATCATAAAATGTGATCTGGTTTCCATCATATCCCTTGTTTTTCAGCTAAACCAAATGATTATCTGGATTATATAATTCGGTTCATACCTCTTCTTCAGATATGGTGTGATTCGTTGCATTCAGTTAAAAGAATTTAAAACACTCGTGAACTTCCAGTCTTGTTTAATCTCTTACTTCCTTCTTAAGTCAAATTTGTAAACTCTCACCGTCAATTGATATCAGTTCGGTTTATGTTTGTCCTAACAAAATTAGAAGATAAACTTTGTGAACATGCATGCATTAAAACAATACTGGTAGGTGGTATATATTTACGGTGTAAAGACGGAAAACAGTAAACGGAAAACGAAGCTTGCTAATGTGGTTATTGTTCTTTAAATTCATTGGATTAAAGGAGAAATTGTCACTGAGGTGAACCTATGAAATACTTGCAGTTGGATAAGATGTCCAATAAAACCAGTTACCATAAACTATTGCTCATAGAAAGAGAGCATACAATCAACCTAAATAGGACCAGTATGCGTGAATTATCGATTTTTTCTATCCAAAGGAAAGTCATTATTTTGACCCTGGATAGTATATCCATTTTAGTGAATAGGCTATTTTACATTAATCTATTTGAATACCCATAAAGACTTCAGTTTATCTGGTCAAAAAAAGTGGCAACTCGTAACTGCTATGATTCAGATCAAATGAACCCTTGTCATAAATCATCTTTTCACGTTGTTCATTATTTGTCACGCATTTTTTCTATATTTATTAGTCTAATAACTAACTCCATCATCGTATGCCAACCAGCAAATTTATTCAGTAATCTATATCATCCATCTTATTTCATAGATCGTAATTATTTATACAGACGTAAAAAGGAGGAACTGAACAAAAGCTTTCCAGAATGGCTGTAATCACAAAAGACAGGCGGGGAAAAAAGTACATAGAGGTCCTGAAGTACAAAGGTATTGGCCTTATAAAAGTGTAAATTCCTCTAATCAGAAGTGTTTGCATAGTCTGTGTGATCCATTTCACTGAAAAAGCAAATTGATATTAAACTGTCGGTGATAATCAGTAGGAAGCAGCAAACCCAAACTTCTTATA